AAAAAGAAAAAAGAACTGTTGTTGGTGACTGACATTTTGACAACCTGAGCAGAAGTCATCTTCAGAGTCAAGTGAATAGTGCTTGTCAGTCGATGGTGTTACAAGTCTGGTCGGCTGAAGGTGACTGGTCAGTTTAGCCTTAATGCTATTGGCTGTAAGACTCGCGTAAAGTTTGTCATCGGTTTGGTCAGTTTCGATCCGCCTATTGTTAGTAAAATTGGTCTGTTAGAGGTCCGTCTAGTGTTAGTTGAATTAAGTAAGTCTGTTAGAAGTCTGTTTGTCGGTTTCATTTACGTGGTGGAGGCGCCAGTCCTTGTTGACATATAGTTTGTACCGTAGGTTTTCGCTGAAATGCTTCTCATATCATTGTTTATTAATTTGAAGTGGTTTTTGACGGCAAAGGTGACAACAGAATAAGAACGCGCTATTCGGTGACTCGACATGCCAGACGTGACTATCTGATAATTAGATTAGTTTTTGTTTATCTGTGAATAGCGTTTTGAAAAAAATTGTTCTTCTTCTATTTTTCCCCAGATATTTAACTTAAGACCATTTATCTCCAGCACTGAAGAAAAAGCATATCGCCCTTAAGTTTCCGAGAAAACAAGGGGATCGTGTTGTGTACCCTTACGAGGAAAACAAAAGTGTCAAGTTACAAAAGTTCGCGTGAAAAGTAACATTGTCATGTCATAGTGTAGAATGGCTATTGTTCTTTTGACATTTACTTCCAGTTATATAGGTCTGTCATGATGCTTGTTACTATTCATAGATGCCCAAAAGGAGCTCATTCATTGGTTGCTATGAACACACGGCAATGCTGCCAACATAAAATTGTATTTAACTCACTTTATAACAAGACCCAATTTAGCATGTTTTGTTGCCAGCTATAATCGTAGATTTTTTTTCGGTTTTGAAATTCCACAAAACCACTTCAAATTAATATCGATATCAAAACCCATGGCACATGATAAAAAAAAGTGTTCATAGCCAATTCCAAGAGGTCATTAGAAAGTCGCCAAGTCATTAGAATTTTCCCATAGACCTGTTTGAATGCGGGAAGTTAGTCAAACCTCACTTGTTGGGTTTTTGATTGAAAAGTCCTTACTTATCTGACTGGAGTGCTGCAATATTTTGTTTAAATATTAAGTCTTAAAATCTGATTAATTAGTTTACTTTTATATGGATTCCATTTACTGCATTGCTATGTAACATTTTAACATGGTTTACTGTTTAATTGCAGCAAAAGAATTGCGAAATTGAAGACCTTACTCGGTAAAGAATTTGTTGAGATGGATTCTTCATATATTAAAGGTTTTAAGTAAAGGCAACGCATTGAATGGTTTAGTGTAATGTAGATATGTGTCCAGTAATGACAATATTGGGTTATTATTGGTGATCAATCGAATAGGTGGACAAGTATCAGAATGATTGTGAGTTTCTATGATGTTGTTCAGTAGTTGATTTCATTTGAACTTAGTCGCCTTGCAGGGTCTGTAAATGTTTAGCGCACTTCTCAGCAATCAGTTTACTCTCCAAATCTCAAGTGTCAGCTGAAAGTTACAACCTTGAATAACGCGCCACTATCGGTTAGAACCATTTAGACTCTCTTCTGCTGTGCGATACAATTCAGTGGCCATTTATGTGTTTTATGAAGTAAACTGTCTCTGGTAATTGGTAGAATGTTTAGGATTTTTGAACTACTGTTTTGTCTTATTACCAATAACAAAGAAATATGCATTAACGATGTGGAATTTTTTTTTCAGACAACTGGGTAAATCTCAGGAAGTCATTGACGTAAGAGAGCGTATTAAGTATATTGATCATTGTCTATTTCCTGGGGTTTATATACGTAATTAAACCGATACAAGACAACTCCAATTTCTTTTGTTGAATTGTTTTCGTTAAGCAAAATTTGAATAGTCAAACTTCAAAGTAGCATTTTGGTGTACTTAAGCCACAACATCTTGTTAATTTGAAGTTATGCAGAAAATCTTGCAAAGAGCAAAAAATAAATTTCATGCAACTAAAATTATCGTGAGAGGCTAAGGTTTTCCTCTTTGGTGATGAGGGTTTTGTTTAAAAAAAAATGGACTAACGATTGCTCAATTATTTACTATGTACTAATATTTGATTGACAGTTTGTAATTTCTTTAACTCTGCTGACTGAATTAAGCCTGCATTAATGAAGAGATTTTCACTGTTTTAAATATGCTTTATTGGGATGGTGTTAATAGCCAATTTCCACAGGTCATTTGAAAGACACCAAATTATTAGAATTTTGCTATACACCTGTTGCAATTTAGGAAGTTAGTCAAACCTCATTTGCTTGGTTTTTAACGAGAAAAGCCTTTGATGTGTTACTGGCACTTTTTTAAAATATTAACTCCGAAAATCTGATCAATTAGATAATTACTTTTATATTGATCCCGTTCACTAAATTTCTATATAATTTTAACATTGTTTACTTTCTTATTGCAGGATCAAAATGTCAAGATCGAAACTTCATTCAAGTAAAGAATTTCTTGAGATATATTCTACATTAAAATATTTATGCTTAGTGCATGTGTGATGTAGTTTTACCACTATTTTTGCTAGAGAAGAGACAAGATATAAGTTAAGGAAAAATGCAAGTTTCTAGACACTTTCTAGACACTTCTGTGATTGCTTTCATTGGAATTGAGTCACGTTACAGAGTCTGTCACATTGTTATTTGTCACTAGGAAAAAATTTTCATTAACTTTATGGTTTTCCTTTTCAGCAAATTGAAGACAAGCGAGAGGCTCGTGATAGTAAGTGAAATTAAGTAGAACAAGATTTTTTTAAAGAAACGAGCTACCAATCGATTGCCCATTAGTAATTGCCAACAAGATAGGCGAGTGAAAACGTGAGCCTGTTGAGGCGGCAGGATATAGAGCTGTGAGTAGTTTGATGGCTAAGCAGAAAAAATCTCAGATCTTTCAGCTCAATTTATGTGTAATCCAGTTCCGTCAGTGATATTTTTTAGGCCATATTAGGATGTAGCTGGATGTTGTCAATATATCGCATGAACCAATTAGAACACTATTTTTCTTTGTGACGTGACAAGGCTTTGATATTTGTTCAGCTCATTGGGTGATTATGTTGGCTACCATTCTACTTTTTGATGCGTATATATCTTACTGAAATAATTTGTCAAACAGATGGCAAACAAATCCCGAGCATTACCCTGCATCAAATAAACAACACTCGAATTCATTCCAGAAAACAACTTGGGTCGTGTTCAGCTTTAACAATTGTACGATTCAATCACAACAAATCCAAGATGTATACCAAAATAATCGCTGAATGAGGGAAAAGAAATTGATTTTAACACCTGTTATACTGGAAGTATAACATGTATGATCTTTAAAAATACAAAAAAAGTGTTCAGCGTTTTGTTCACTTACTGAGTTGAAAAATAAACAACGTTGTGTTCAATTACAGCAATAATTTGGAACATTAACTGAAATAAATTGATTTTAACACCTGGTATACTAGAAGTATCCCAAATAAATATTACAAAATTCAATCGACTCTTGTTTACTAACTCATTTCACTCGTTGGCACTTATTGATAGGTACAACTAGTATAATGTACTAATATGTGATGGAAAGTTTGGATTTTCTTTAACTCTGTCCATTAATAAGCCTGCATTTACGAAGGGAATTTTCTGTTCACTGATAAGCCTGCATTTACAAAGGGAATTTCATTGTCATAAATACGTTTTCTTGGGATGGTGGTAACAGCCCATCTTAACAGGTCATTAGAAAGTCACTAAGTCATTACATGTTTCCTGTGCATGGTCAAACCTTACTAGCAGGGTTTTTAACCAGAATGCCCTTTCCTACATGTATCTGACTGGATTGCTGCAGTATGTTTTTTAAATATTAATTCTTAAGACCTGATTAATTAGTTTACTTTTATATGGAACCCCTTTACAGCATTTGTGTAAAGTTTTTTTTTTTTAATTTTGTGGTCTGAACTGCTTGGTAGCAACAGCGATGTAAACATGGTAACCAAATCCATGTATTGTGTTGGAGTGAAGGTATTTAGTCATAATTTTAACACCCAAGTTTTAGCAAATTCGTAAGACAGCCACATTCGCACTGAACAGACGCACTGCAAAATGGAATATACTTGTTTTAGATAATAAAGAAACAAATTGCCAGTCATGTGATCTACGCATCTGTCAAGTTCTCCAATAGATTTTACGTAAAAAACAATCAACAATGAACATGCGAGAAAACTCGACATACATATATTAAGTAGAGTCAACATATTGTTTACTTTTTTATTGCAGGAACGTGAATATTCGCTCCAAAATCTCTGGAGGTAAACATTTGTTGAGTTACGTTCTGCATACAAATTTCTATCTATAAGCAATGCATTTTATGATTTAGTGTAATGCAGCAAAGAACTGAGGGTATTGAAGGCGTTTCTCGGTAAAGAATTTGTTGAGATGTATTCTTCATTACACTTTTTATGTAAAGGTGAGGCATTGGATGGTTTAGTGTAATGAAGAAATGTGTCCAATAATGATGGTATTGGATCATTATTTGTGATCAATTGAATAGGCGCGGACAAGTATCAGAATGAATGCAAGTTTCAAGACGTTGTTTAGTGGTTGATTTCATTTCAGCTGAGTCACCTTGCAGGGTCTGCAGGGGTGCTGGAATCTTAGTTATCAGTAAAATGCTTAGCCCACTTCTCAGCAATTAGTACACTTTCCAAATCTCAAGTGTCAGCGGACAGTTACAACTTTGAACAACTCGCAGCTATCGGTTAAATTACATTTACATTACACTCTTTCCTGCTCACAGAGTAATACAATTCAGTGACCATTTAAAACATCTGTGATAGTTGGTAGAATGTTTAGGAATTTTTAACTACTCTTTTGATTAATCACTAAGTATAATTAACTAACAAATATTCATTAATGATATGGATATCTTTTTCAGGCTCTTGCATGAAGCCGCAGACTACTCTGACGTAAGACAGCCTAAGTAGATTAATCAGAGTCTATATATTTAGTAGACCGATACAAGACAATTCCAATTTCTTAGTTTTGTTGAATTGTTTTTCAAATGGGAACTATTGAGAAATCACTAAGCAATTAACTTTTAAGAGTCAAACCTCAAAAGACAGAGAAAACAAACCATTGATGTCTATGATTGATAATAAGTAGCATTTTTGTACACTGAAGCTAAAACATCTGGTTAATTTGCAGTTATGAGACAAATCCTACAAGGAAAATAAGAAATGAATAGCGTGCAATTAAAATATCTTGAAAGGCTAGTTGTTTTCCACTTTGATGAACAAGATATTTTTAAAGAAATGGACTAAAATGGACTAAAATGAACATTAGTGATGTACTAATATTTGATGTAAAGTTTGGAATTTCTTTAACTCATTTGCGAAGAGAATTTCACTGTTGTAAATATCTTTTCTTCGGACGGAGTTAATAGCCAATTCCAGCAGGTCATTGGAAACCTGATCATTTAGTTTAGTCTTATATCGATCTCCTTTACTGCATTCAGTAAAATTGTAACATGGTTTATTTTCTTAACTTATTGCAGCAAAAAGAGGGCGAGATTGAAAACCTTTCTCGGTAAGGAATTTGTTGAGATGTATTCTTTATTAAACGTTTTACATATAGGAAATGCATTGAGTGGTTTAGTATAATGTAGATATGTGTCCAATAATGACGGTATTAGGCTATAATTTGTGATTAATTGAATAAGTGGAGAAGTAGCAGAATGAATACAAGTTTCTAGACGTTGCTCAGTGGTTGATTTCACCTTGCAGGGTCTGCAAGGGGTGCTGGAATCTTAGTTATCAGTAAAATGTTCACCCACTTCTCAGCAATCAGTTTACTTTCCAAATCTCAAGACTCAGCTGACAGTTACAACTTTGAGCAACTTGCAGCTATTGGTTGAAACACATTTAGACTCTCTCCCGCTGAGCAATACAATTCAGTGACCATTTATGATTTTTATGAAGTAAAATGTCTCTGATAGTTGGTAGAATGTTTAGGAATTTTGAACTGCTGTTTTGATTACCAGTAATCACTAATTAACAAAGAAATACTCATTAACCATATGGTTTTTTTTTCAGCCAACTCTGTGAATCAAAAGAAGACCTTGAAGTAAGAGAGCTTAAGTATATCAATCACAATCTATTTATTTAATTAGACCGATACAAGACAATTCCCATCGCTCACTTTTGTTGAATTGTTTTTTAAAATGGAACTATAGCAAAATCACTAAGCATAACTTTGAAAAGTCAAACCTCAAAAGACATAGAAAAAAACCATTAATGGCTGTGATTCGTAATAAGTACCATTCAGTTTAAGTGCACTGAAGCAAAAACATCTTGTTAATTTGCAGTTATGAGACGATTCCTACAAAGAACATATGAACTGAATATCGTGTAATAAAAATATCTCAACAGACTAGAGTTTACCTCTTTGATGAACATGATTTTGTTTTAAAAAAAAGGACTAACAATTGATTGCTCTTTAGTAATATACAAATATTTGACGTAAAGTTTGGAATTACTTTAACTCTGTTCACTAATAAGCCTGCATTTTCGAAGAGAATTTCACTGTTATAAATACGTTTTATTGGGATGGTGTTAATAGCCAATTCCAACAGGCCATTAGAAAGTTACCAAGTCATTAGAATTTTCCCATGGACCTGTTTGAATTTGGGAAATTAGTGAAGCCTGACTTGCTGGATTTTTAAGTCAAAAGTCCTTACTTAGCTGACTGGAATGCTGCAGTATTTTGTTCAAAAATTAACTCTGAAAACCATCCCATTTACTGCATTGCTATAAAACATTTTAACATGGTTTACTTTTTAATTGCAGCAAAAGAATTGCAAAATTGAAGACCTTACTCGGTAAAGAATTTGTTGAGATGGATTCTTCATATAGTAAACGTTTTATGTAAAGGCAATGCATTGAATGGTTTAGTGTAATGTAGATATGTGTTTACTAATGACGGTATTGGGCTATTTTTTGTGATCAGTTGAATAGGCGGAGAAGTACCAGAATGAATGCTAGTTTTAGACGTTGTTTAGGGGTTGATTTCATTTGAACTGGATCACTTTGCAGGGTCTGCAGAGGGTGCTTGAATCTTAGTCATCCTTACTTTCCAAATCTCGTCTCAGCGGACAGTTGAAATATTGAGCAACTCACAGCTATCGGTTAGAGCACAATTAGACTCTCTTCTTCTGAGCAATACAATTCAGTGGCCATTTATGTGTTTTATAAAGTAAAACGTCTCTGATAGTTGGTAGAGTGTTTAGGATTTTTTAACTACTGTTTTGTCTAATTACTAATTAACAAAGAAATATGCATTAATGATGTGGACTTTTTTTTTCAGCCAACTGGGTAAATCTCAGGAAGTCATTGATGTAAGAGAGCTTATATTAAGTATATTGATCATTGTCTCTATCCCGGGGTATATATATGTAATTAAACTGATACAAGACAACTCCGATTTCTTTTGTTGAATTGTTTTT